GGGATTGAGCTAGTGGCTGAGTGGTTCCCAGTAACCAGCTGGGCTTAAACCACGACAACCGGTAACTGTTACACAGCAAAACACCACTCACTTCCCAGTGTATCCTGGGTGTTTCTGGGATAAGGTGGCCAAAGAAATAGGCAGGTGGAATGAAGAAACCTGTCCTGCCGAAACAGGGACAAGAAACATAATCCAGGATGAAATAATAGGCAAAAAGGAAGGAAGTGCTTATATGTGGAAATAAAAATAAGAGATAGGAACTTGGGATCACTCAGTTGCTATGAGAACAAAGACAACCAGTACTGAAAGTGTTCAGGAACACCACCACTTCTTTTCTGATAGAGGAAAATGATAGAGTCTTCATAGGATAGAGTCTTCCTAGCAGACTTTTCCTTTAAACGAGAGGACTTGAGCTTGTGGGGGGCACAGGAAGATTTACAGGAAGTGAGCAGGATATTAAATAAACTACAAGAGCAGCAGATTATTTGAGTACATAAAGGTATCTCCATGGGACCAGCAAGACCTGCAGAAGGGCCAATGCGAGCAACTATTCCGGTGTGGACTCAGGGTGTAGTCTGGTCTGGTCTAGCAACCAGAACCTGCATGCTATAAACAAGCTTTTGTTTTCACCTAATTACAGATTACTTCGCCATGAAAACAATGGGAAGAAAAGCACATGAGGAAGTCTGCACAGAAATCCTGTGGGAGGAAGCAAGAACTCACTTCACTTTCGGGTGTTCCATATATCCCCCTCAGTGCTTCTGAGCTTGCACGTGTTGTTGAGGTCAAACTAGGAGCAAAAGAAGATAATGTTAAAACCCTCAGCACAAGTATGAGCCCAACAGGGTGATTTTTCAACGCCACAGCAAACAGAAATAGTTACTTCCATGCCTAAGCTAAGCATTTGCCTGGATATAGCATTGAGCACTAAGCATGTGAAAAGTTTGTTCTGAGTGAGTATACACCAGCCACAGCCAGTCACTGGCCAACTCAGGCTGAATCATGAGTTTAAAAGTAGGTCACTCCTGAAAGGTTGTGAATTCATCACAATCATACAGCAGAAAACAGCTAAACGCTCCAATCTGCAATTCAGAAGAGCTCTCCCCTGCTGTGCACAACCAATGCTTTTATGTTAACTTCACAGCCATCGCTTTGGCTCAGCATTTCTGTAAAGGCTTTGCCAGCCGAGGAACAGGTCACTGGCAGCAGTTTGATTTCAAAAGTAAATTACCAGCATTTCCGGGAAATCACTTTCTTGCATGACTGTAGTTGTCTGAGGGGAATCATAAAATCATTTAGGTTGGAAAAGACCTTTAAGATCATTGAGTCCAATCCTTTCTAGTTTCTTCTGAGAATAAACATTTCTTGCCCAGTCTTCCCCTTTCAGGATGTGTAATACACATTTCCCATTACCCCCAGGGAGGTGTGTTAATGCTTTGCTGTACACGTTAAGCCTTAGCAAGCAATACTTCATGACATTCTCCTTGAAGGCTTTCTTATCTACCCAGCTACATGGTGCATTTCTCCTGCAAGCTACATAAAAGTTGTCTGCATTACTGAAACACCTTCCTGAGGCACTGGAAATAATGTTCTAATGCAAACTAGACACATGATAACCATATATTTCATATCAGAATTAAATGGAACACATGCATATTTGATAGCAGAAGAGTAGCTATCAAATATACCTCTTCAGAAAGTCTCGTTTTCACTTCAAAATTAGGAAGGAGCTTCAGTATGTGAATTTTGAAGTGGACTGACTCAGAAGCAGAACCTGCTCAAAAACCTGCAGCAGACAGGCAGTGCTGTCTCTTGCTAACCTGCACAGCCAAAACAAGCGATACAAGTTGTTTGAGATGTATCACCTTTCAATCAAAAGCAACTCCCCACCTCCACGTCCTGACCCATGACTGAATTTATTGATGTGAGCTGCAATAATACAAGGTGAGCATCACAAGTGTATGGGCACAAACAGATTTTTTGAGATACAGAGATCACTGCCAAATCCTGATGGCAATACTGTACTCAACACTTGTTCAAAGGAAGCCCTAAACCCTCCCAAACAGTTTTGTTAGTTTGAAAGACCCTCAAGGAACAGTCGTAGCCTCTGCCGGGGGGCTACAGAAATTTTAGATGGTCATAATTGCATAGTTTTTCTTGCAGAAAGAGTAAATACAGAATCAAACCACCCTGAGACTGTTTGAGA